TATGTATAATTTTATGCTGTAGTCCAATATGTGTTAATCTACATGGAGAAAAGCCTTTTTGCACAAATTTAAATATATAATGAAAACATTTGGATTCCTAACGCCATATTCCATGAAGAGGAGGCTATATGTACCCACACACAAACATGTACACACGCACATACACACTGCATGCATGCATCATAGAACCGGGCCTGCAGAGAAAAAGCAACACTCCCTGAGTGAGCGGAAGAAAAGGAGGTGGGGGAGAGGGAGGCCGGCTTGCAGCTCCACTCTTCCAGGGTCTCACACACAAGATCCGGGCGCACGGCTCCATTGAGAACGAGGAGGCTTTTGCATGGAGGTTCATTAGAAGTAACGAGTTGACACAAGGTAAATCTTAATGTTGAGGCGCCTTTCTCTACCGGCCCGGGGAGGAGCCCTCATTAACTGTCGCTAACAACCCGTGTAAATACACTGATTGGACAGCTCCGATACAAGCTCCCAGCCCTGCCAGGAAGTCCCCCTAATGAGACCACACAATAAAAACAATAAAAGAAAGGAGGGAGAGAGAGAGAGGGGGAGAGAGAGAGATGTTAAAACTTTTGTAAAAGCTTTACTATTAAAGTTGGAGCCACGTTTACAGATCAGTGACATTTGCGGTGAAAAAATGTTTTAAATTCAATCATGGCGTTTTTCTGTTTCTTTAAGTTTAAATTTAGACACTATTGTGCGTCGTGCATGCATCTGCAAACGTAAACAGAGGTTTTGCCTATTGCTTACGTGATCACACGTTGTTATTGAGTGGCTGTTTTAAGATATTGCAACCGACTTAATTGTTTTGGCGCTTGAGTTCACTATGGAATGAACCAAATCGTAACAGCGTCACATATGCAGGTCTAATTTTTTTTTTTTTAATGCTTTTAAAAAATAGAATGCAGTTGTTAAAGCTGCTGACTATATGCGTTAATCGTATTTTTGCACTGCAAAAAATATCCAATTTGTTTTCATTTCATAAAAATTTCCTCATATGCGGTAAAAAAAAAAAAAAAAAAATATATATATATATTCCAGTGGCACAAATTTTATTCATAGCATTTTTTTTTTAAAAAAAGAAAGTGGTATAATATTTCTAAAGAAAGCGGATTTCTGCATTTCTTGTACTAACTCAAAATTTTCACGAGAAACTTTAAACAGAGGCAGACAAAGTTATATCAGATCGAGATGTCTCCTTCTACATCCTTCTCCCAAATGTATGATAGAGCCATTCATTTCCCCAAAAATAACCCCTTATTTTTAAAACTCAGTGCTACATTAAATGACACCTTTAGACTGACACTTTTTACAGTGTGGGGAGAAAGCAGCGACTCCGTACCCTGGACTAGCCAGCAAAGGGATGGAGGCGATTGTGCGCCCGTCCCGACAGCATCACACATCTGCTCTGCAAAAACAGATCTCCCCGATTCTCGGTGAGAGAAAAGTCAGATAACACCAAATGTAACTTTTCTGATCTAAATGATAGATTAGCCTCATATCAAGGTCTGTTAAGGTTTTTTTTATGTTTAATTCCATATTTTTGTTTAAATAAATTAATTGTCCGCAAAAATAACGAGTCGACAACGTCGCAGACGGAACTTACAGACGTTGCAGCTCGATTTCCATCCTACTTTTGGACAAACTGACCAGTGAAATAACCGTGAAGCGGTGCCATCTCCAACGTCAGCTTCCAAGCTCAAATGGTGACCGCTCGTGGACTGGAGCCAGCTTACAGCCCTGCAGGAGACAAGAACGAGCAAGGTGGGGGGGAAAGGTAATTCCAAATATTCTGAGAGAAAAACACAAGCGTTGAGTTTCCACGTGATTAAAATAAAATTGCATTTCTCTGTTGGCAGGATAATAATAAATGCATCCTCTGACGCGTGCGAAAATAAATTTAGCAGAAACTAGACTTCCTTGTTCTAAGAGAAAAGCAAAGGAGAAAACCTTTTTTTTTGTACGTACCAGTCATTTCTCCAATGTGTCTGTGTAATGTTGAGATGAATCCAGGATGGAGCAGTAGGCACATGTGCCTCTCCTGTGTTTGCCAGGGAGGGGTGTGCTGCCTTTTCTGGGAAGCTTCTGCCAAACCGGGGTCAACGAGGGAGCAAAAAATAAAACAAGACCCTTTCTTTCGTGCCTTCTCTTTCCCCCTTACCTTTTACAGTCAACACCTTTTCTTTCTTTCTCTCATCCGGTCCCCTTCTCCCTCTCTCACTCCCAAACGTGACGTAACATCAGCTTTGTTTATTTGCTCCCCTTATTGGAACAGACAGAAAAAGAAAAAGAACTACTTAATGGAGATTAACGAGCACTTTTAGACGCAATATGTTCCGATAAGACTAACATATCTTGGTCAATGAACAGTATTACCCTATTATATTAAGAACTTAAAAAAACACAGTAGTAACTTGTTTTATTTATACAAAACTTTTCTACACAAAGTTTGACATTCCATTTAACGCTCAGCCAAAAGGAATGGGAAGCGAGATCCTGCTGCTTAACAGACACGGACGCCTGTTCCTGCTTGACCAGCATATTTCCAGTTTTTAGCATGCAAAATGCTGTTTGTGTTGTCTTGTTTGGAGGTTTAGGCTGTAAGTAAACGGAGAAGACGCTAAATGCTCAATGTGCATTCAGAGCTCTCGTCCCCCGCTGCTAGGAACATTCAGCAAGCTCTCGGATAAACACACAATTGCGGCAGGTGAATAAACTTGTTTGGGAGGTGTTAATTACATGCTTAACGTAAACAAAAGCCATGTAAAAGAATGTGAATTACCAGTGGCTTTTCTCCCTCAATCCCCATTCAGGTTTTACATTTCACCTCTAGTCTTTTCTAAGAGTGATTTCCGAATTGCCTGCGAGGGCTACTCCCAAACAAGGCTCCTCCAAAACATAATGCTACATAATACCTGCAGCCTTGGGTTGAATGGTGATCAGCTAAATTGGTACACCAGGAACCCGGTCAGGTAGGAGGCTTTGCATATTTGGAGAAATGCTGCTAAGCCCGCACTCTCAACTTCATGTTGGGGTCATGCATGTGTGTATATGTGTGTGAGAGAGAAAGAGAAAGAGGAGGGGGTATAGGCTAGGAGGTTAGTTTTAACACCAGCATGAAAATACCAGCCTTTACTTCCAGTCCACAGAGCTTTCCAACGGGACCAATTCAAGTGCCACTTGGAATTAGTCCTCCTGAGGTTCGTATAGGACAGCAGTGGGCAGGTTTGATCCCATACTCTACCCTGCCCCCACACGCACAAACACGCGCGCAAACTCCAGAAGTAACACACGAACCAAACGCCTGACCCTGCTGCAAGATCATCACAACGCCCACTCTGCATCACATACACCTCCAGACACAGACACTCGCAGCCCACTCCTGCACGCACATGTTCGCACGAGTTAAAGCACCGCTTTACCTAAAACGCGTTTTAGTGCGCCAGTATTGGCTAATTGCTCGGCGGCAATCACGTTGTTTAAGCGCGTCAGGTAAGGTTTGTGGTGGACATAAACAGGCAGCACTGACTATACATGCACACTGAGGTACTCACTGTCCCTCCAAGCTTGAAGTCGTTGGTCAGCCGGGAGAATGTGCAACTCGGAGAGAGGAAAGGGAACGTTTTGAATTCCTGAATGATTTTGTAGAAAGGCGGCTTAGGATCATTATGTCAGCTTTGCTGAGGGTGGATTAAGCGAAGTCTAGATTCTATGCCCTGCATACGGCTCTTTCACAATGTGAGCACTGTTCGTGTTAGACTGAATTCACACTATTTTAACACCCTATAAGCTCTGTCTAAATATGAAGCCGATTTAGCCATAAACATGAAAATCACACCGCCGTGGCTACCACTACTACCACTATAAGCCGAGTCCTATGACTGAAAGTGGACATTGATCATGTCCTTGCCACAAGATCAAAGAAATGAAATAGCTTTTATGTCCCCAAGAAGCTTTCATGTTGCCATTTGATTGTAATTCCAATACTAGCCTAATAGTTTTAATTAGAGGGCCGGGCCATAAAAAACGCGATAAACTGTTAAAAGGGCGATGCCACTGGCAAATTAGTTTTCCCACTACAATGCCGTGATCTTTGTTCAATCAACACAATGCTGCGCGTCGATATTAATTTGTAACAATAAATTCTGTTGGTTGGAGAGAAGGCAACGGGCAGGGGGCCAGGACTGCACCCAGCGTCCCAGAGGCAGGGCCGGGGACAGCAGGAGGGGGAGCGGCATCACTGCAGTATACCCCCGGACAAGTACCCACCCATCACAAAGTGACCACACAGAACAGCTAGGCCGAGTAAAGTCATGCGCGGATTATGTCATAAAATTGCAAACATGCAGTTTTTTAAACCATCGACGGATCCAGGGCAAAAAACAAACAAAAAACAGAAACAAAAGACAAAAACCCTCAAAGGCTTAAGGGACTACACCATATTTTTTTGTTTTTTCAAAACAAAAAATAATGTAAAGCGATTACTTGTATCTATGAAAAGGAAAATGTAACCCAGAAGACTAACGCTTTCATTTCCGTCGCACAAAAATGAATGGAATGATCAAAAGATTCTAAAAAGTAGCTACTACAGGAAAAACTATACAAAAACAATGTGCAAATTGACTCGCTTCTATTCAAAACGTGTATTCCCGAGTTGCAGTCATTGGTTGTCCATTTGTCACCCATTTAAAGCTCCCTCTGCCTCCCTCCCTCCCTTCCCGTCTCTGCTAAGCATCTCCAGTCTACATATCTTCTTTAGCTTTAACGAGCCTCGTTAAGATCGCAATAATATTCCACCCTCTAATTGCTCATTCCATTCAGCAGATAGGCGAGCATTGGCTTGTGCCTGATGCGCGCGATGCGGTGGGAGGGTTGCTGTGGAGATCGGAGACTCTGATAACCCCCCGTGCATGCTGCACAAGTGGTGAAAGCCTCGCGCTACGTACTGGCTAATGATTGGCACGCTTGACAGTGATTGGCAGGGCTGCCATGACAACGCTACAACGACACCAAGAAGACCAATAGAAAAGGGAAACAAAATGTTTCAATGCTACACTCAACGGCGGATTTAGGGGGGAGATATTATGAGGCTGGTGTCATTAGGCGATAGCCATTGAATCATTCAATCTTTTTTACTTGCCGTATTTTTCGGTTTTTCCCTTTTTCTCGATAATTTTCTTTCTCTCTCAGGTCATTTCCATGGTTTTCAGATCCCCTTTAGAGCTTTATCCCTCCCATTTCTTCCTGCCAAACTTCGCTGATCGCCCTCTGCTCCTGGCGAACAGCGCTCCCACCACCAGGTCTCCAGAAGACTTGTCCATGTTTCAACTACCGACCCTCAACTTTTCCCCGGAGCAGGTGGCAAGCGTCTGTGAGACGCTGGAAGAGACCGGGGACATCGAACGGCTGGGCCGCTTCCTCTGGTCCTTGCCTGTGGCTCCGGGAGCGTGCGAGGCGATCAACAAGCATGAGTCCATCCTGCGCGCTCGGGCCGTGGTGGCGTTCCACACCGGGAATTTCAGAGACCTCTACCACATCCTGGAGAACCACAAGTTCACCAAGGACTCTCATGGCAAACTGCAGGCCATGTGGCTGGAAGCTCACTACCAGGAGGCCGAGAAGCTCCGCGGTCGTCCCCTCGGACCTGTCGATAAGTACCGGGTACGGAAGAAGTTTCCGCTGCCTCGGACCATCTGGGACGGCGAGCAGAAGACGCACTGTTTCAAAGAGCGGACACGGAGCCTGTTGAGGGAGTGGTACCTTCAGGACCCATATCCAAATCCCAGCAAGAAAAGGGAATTGGCTCAAGCCACTGGACTCACTCCCACACAGGTCGGAAACTGGTTTAAAAACCGGAGGCAAAGAGACAGAGCTGCGGCTGCCAAAAACAGGTTAGTGACTTTTCTGTGTGCCGTCGAAACACGAGTATGCACACAAGTTTGTCTTTAATGCACATTCAAAAGAAAATGCGAGCTTTTTAAAGCTTTATATTGCGATTGGAGACTGTCTAGGAAAAAGATAAGTCTGGCTGTCAGGTGGAGGCACTGCGCTGCGGCGACATTTTGTTATCAAACCCGGATAAACGTCGAAAATATTCCTTTTGTAGATCTCCAGAGTTCTCCTAAGCATAAAAACTTCACTATTATTATTAAAAATTAGCTTTTAAACATTTTTCGCAGATTGATCATTTTTAATGTATTTTAAATTGAATGCAAATTGTATTTAAGAATGAAAAATACAATTAATCTAAAGTTTGGAATTAAAAAAAAACTGACTAATAAAATAATACAAACACAAACTACATTTGTTGTCAATCTTGATAAGAGATAATTGAGCCGAGTTCTTTTTAAACAGAAACACCTTGTTTATATTTTTACAAGAGGGGAAGTATTCTTGCAACACATGAAGATTATTGAATTTATATTTAGAAAAACCATCCGCTGCAGGATTTGTTTAATTTTACAACTATTTCGCTTGTAAAATTGTAAACAACCTAGTGAATTATTTCAATCAGCTGAAATAAAAACAGGACAATGTTTAGTTTTTTTTTTCTAAATAATTATTCTAAAGTTAAATCGTCTTATCTTTACATTTAAACACATATTAAATTGTTAAATTTAGTAAATGTATTTATTTATTTATGTGTATTGACCAATTGAAGTTCTTAATGCAAGCATTAAGCGTTTTAACATCAAATGTTGCTTAGTGTTGTTGAACACAACGATTATCTCAAAGGATAATAACGATATTATTGATATCTGAGCATGCGTAGAGAAAAACATCTGAAGACATGGGCTGTATTCATAACATTGAGTGTGGTATCATTCCACTGAAATGCCATAATTGATTAGAAAATACTTTGGAGAGCACTAAGCCATATGAACAGTACTCTAATATTTTTGCTAAATGAATAGATATATTTCCAGGCTGACATTATCCCCACGCGATGGAGTTATTATCATGAGTGGATTGGAGATAAACATTTAGGATGATTGGAGTAACCTGGATCTCGACGTCACTCATTCATACACGTCCCCTGCCATCAGACTAAAACACATCTGTGCCAAAGGCTCACGGCAGTTTGTCGTTGTGAGAATACCCATATTTTATTTTAAACAATGATATAGAATTATTTGGGGGTTTTAGACGTGCAAAGTCCTGTTGATGAGCATGAATACACGTGTGCAGAATGAAGAAATAATAATAAACGCTGAACAAACTCAGAGCAGTAACATAGATTTCCAAATGGAAAATGTCTTCAAACTGCTCATATCAAAGACAGCAAGTTGGATTTGAAGCTTTCCTGCACTGGCAACATGGATCAGTTATATTCCAGAGTGTTGACTAGGACGAAGAAAAAATAATTAAGTTAAAAAACAACAACAACAACAACAACAACACAGCCCTAGTACATTTCATCCAACGTTTGGTAGTCTAAATAGTGATGTGTTTTGTCCCCTGAAAGCTGGCTATTTGATAAAAGCACGCATGCATGCCTGGGGCCGGCAGGGGGAAAGAAAGGCGAGTTTGAACCCCTATTTTGCAGGAGGAGGAGGGGAAGGGGGACATTCTCAGGTCTAATTGCCATTTCTCTCATTTTTTCTCTTTTTCCCCCTCCTCGTTTCTTTTCTTCTCCAGGCTCCAACACCAAGCAATAGGACCAGCCGGTATGAGGTCCCTCTCAGAGGCCGGTCTCACCCCTCACAGCTCGGCAGAGTCGCCTTCAACCGCGGCAAGTCCCACCACCAGCGTTTCCAGTATGACAGAGAGAGTTGATACTGGGACGTCCATCCTGTCCGTCACATCCAGTGACTCGGAGTGCGATGTATGATACGGAGAAAAAAAACACAAAAACAAACAAAAAGAGAAATATTTACAGGGAAAATGGACCTGAGAGGAAGAAAAAAGACTATGAAATATCGCGGATGAAAAAAGGACCGATTGATATAAATATTAAAATAAAAAGAGTTAAAAGCACGTCGGTTTTTTTTTTTTTTTTTTTTTTTTTTTTTTTTTTTTTTTTTTCTTATTATCCTAGATGTATCTAGCTATGTCTGGCACTGTGCAGGAATGATCGCTTGGCCCTTGTGAAACAAATTGAATCAGTTTGAAGGATGGGCCAACAAAAGAGGATTTACTATCAGGACACCTAATTCCAAGGTATCTGTCTCAGGAAATTCACTCATCCAACATTTTTGTGTTTATAGTCTTACTCTTGCCAGCGCAATAGGGTTCAGGGAAGTGTGCTTGACAAATGCACTAAACTTTTAAACTTATACTTACTTTTTGTGATGGTTAAATAGGAAATGCTCAAGAACTCACTTAGCTAATTTCTACTCAGCTATGAATAAATAACGTTGGGTTTTCATCAGATGCTGGTGATTGCATCTTGACAAAACCACAGTTTCTTATTGCAAATTTGAATTTTATTTGGTTTATACCGCTGGTAAACCTAAAATAGCTTATTTGTCCAGTACATTTTAGCTTATAAGCCTGTGAAACAGAAACCACACAAGTGGCAAAGTCCATTTAGTTCACTGAGGTTTTAGGTTGTGCTGATTCTGTCTTTGGGGATTAAAAACAAAAACTCAAAAAGCAACAACAACAAAAAAAAGACCCCACTCAAATTTTCTAGGTGATTTTGAATACAGGTATACAGGGATT